TCTTTTGTATTTAAGAATAGAACCCAAGTATATCTAGAATAGTCATCTACCAAGACAAATGCATATTGTTTTTCACCCAAGCTAGTAGTTCTAGTTGGCCCAAAAAGATCTAAATGGATCAATTGTAAAACTCTACTAGTTGATACATCATTAATGGATTTAAAAGAAAATCGCTTTTGTTTTCCTTTAGCACAAGCATCACAGATTTATCATTATCAAATTTTAGTTTAGGCAGCCCTCGAACCAATTCTCCTTGAACTAACCGTTGCAAAACACTCATAATAGCATGTCCTAGTCTCTTATGCCATAACCAACTATCATGCTCATACTTAGCAACTAGGCATAAATTAGTCATATCAAAAGAATCTAAATGCATCATGTATATATCTCTATTTTATGACCAACAAGCATAATCGAAAATAGATGCAATGTCAATCAATTTTGCAATCATTTAAAATAAAACATTGTATCTTTTATCAAATTTATTTGTCAAAAGATTATGCTTTTAACCCATTCACATATAAAACATTATGCAATGTTGATAATAGAGATTAAGAGCACATGCATAAAGTTTTTGAAAATGTTATGCATTAAAACTTTATAATATTTAAACAAAAATCTATGCATAAACATTAAGAAAAAGTTCAGGTCAAAATTTTACAAAACCAAAGTTCTTGAAAAATCGATATCAATTGTTAAAGAGATATCAATTACATTTTAAAAAAAAAATTTGACCAAAAGAAAAATATGATGAACTAGAGTTTATAAAACATTACCAAAAATTATTATGTTCATCATACAATATTTTCAACATACATGAGACAAAACATAATCATTTAGAATTATTTAACATTTAAAACCTCATGCATGCATAAACTAAATGAGCAACCAAATAAAAAAAACATTAAGTTTAGAGGTTACCCATTCCTTTTTCATGTGTGGCTAGAGCATCTTGAATATCATCATCTTTATCATCATTGCTCTCACACACCTACAAGAGACATTTAAGTAGATTTTGGTATCCAAATTGCTTTGGATCCTTGAACATTAGTTTCAATGCCTCTTGTTCCTTTTGGAACCCATACTTGTCTAATTTTAAATCGTTTTCCTTTCTTTAAAGGAAAAGTATGTTCCTTATGACCATGATAATGACAATGTGAACATATTGTCATTATTGAACTAGATGAATTATTTAGAATGATCTCTTTTTCTCTTGTTAAACATTCAAACTTATCTTTCAAATTAAAATTTTCTTTTTCGATACTTTCAAATTTCATTTTTGAGAGTTCTAAATCCTTCTTCAAGATTTCATTTTGATTTTCAAAATCTATTTTCATTTCTAGAAGAAGTTTGTTTAATTTGAAAAAAAAAATTTCAAAGTTTTCAGATTTTATTTTTGAAAGCTCTAACTCCTTTCTCAACATTTCATTTTGATTTTCCAAGTCTGTTTTAGCTTTCAAAAGAAGATCATTTTTAGAAATCAATTTATTGTATTTGGAGTTCATGGTCTCAAACTCCGAAAATAATTTATCATAAGCATCTTGTAACTCATTAAAAGATTTTGAATTTGATATATTTGAGTTAGAAGATACCTTTGGCTCTGTGAGAGCTAATAGAGACACCACTTTTATTGGTTCTTCTTCTTCCTTGTCTCTATAGATCTCCTCAAGCTTATCCCACATCTCCTTGGCACTTGAACAAGAAGAAACTCCTTTATATACATTAGGATCAATTGCACAACATAACATGTGCATAGCCTTTGAGTTTTGTTGAGCTTCCTTCCGTTCTTGAACACTCCACTTCTTTGCCTTCTTAGTAGGAGAGGAATATCCTTTCTTGATTATCATCCAAGCTTCCATATCAAATGCTTTGATGAATATCATCATACACCTCTTCCAATGACGATAATTTGTTCCATTGAAGTGTGGAAGCACGTCAATAGGTCTGGATTCTTCCATTGAGAAATGAACCGAAGTAGACGCCATCTTATCGATTTAACTATTCCCGGATCGACTCAAGAGGCGATTAAACCTTCAAATGAGTTAGGCTCTGATGCCAATTGTTGAGTTAATCGATTGACTGAATCGGCCAAGAGGGGGTGAATTGGAAATTTAAAAATTTTGTGGAAGCTTTTGCAAAAATTTGAAAGAAATTGCACAACGATTTAGAGTGGTTCGACTTTATCAACCAAAGTCTATATCTACTACCTTAGCTATCCACACTAAGGATTTTCCAACAAATTCACTAATTTGTTCTTTCTTTTGAGGCCAAAGAGATAACCTTACAACTCCCTCAAGAATATACCCCAAATATGTTTGCACAATTCTAGAACAAAGAAAGAACACTCAAGAATAAATACAATTGAGCATAATAAGTGTTCTTGAAAGCAAAATGAATATTGAATGAAAAATAGGCTTGAAATGCTCAAACTTGAGGTTTGATGCTTTCTCTTTGATTCTCTCTTTATTCTAATTGCTTGATGTTTCTTGTTATTGATCAATGGCTTCTAAGCTTGCTTAAATACACCTTGAATCACTTCTGAACGTTGGGGATGATTAGAGAAAATAATATAGCCGTTTTAGTGTGAAAACAATTAATAAAACAGTTTGGAGCGTGGGGGGAATCGGTACCCCCTATGGGGAATCGGTTCCCTAAGTGTAAAATTCAAATATTTCGACCGTTATACAAGGGGGGAATCGGTACCCCCTGGGGGGGAATCGGTTCCCTCCGAGCATACTGGAATTCTCTGAGCCAAACCATTCAGGGGGAATTGGTACCCCCTTTGGGGGAATCGGCCCCCTTTGGGGGAATCGGTTCCCTGAGCAATCTGAAATTTTTGGCTTTGAAATGGTTCGAAATACTTTGTAAAATTATTTTGAGATTGTTTTAAGATTAAAACTTAATTTTACACTTGAGTAAGGATACAAATGATCTTTGAAAGATTTGGAGTAATGTTTTGATATTCGAATAGTTATATCAAATATACTTAGAAAATCATTTGGAAAAATCTTAAAATTCATTTAACTTAATTTGTTATATCGAAATATCAAAATGTTTTCAACATAATATAACTTTGATAATTATTTTATACAGTAGCAATGGGAACTTTTGTTTTGAATTTATATTTAGGGTCGGTTTATTTGAGGGAAAACCAATTATGGTTTTTCCCTAAATCCCGTGTTTGTTTCACGTAATTCGTTTTCCGAAAAATGTTTTCCAGTGCTTGGTTGGAGGAAAACTGGTTGGTCAACGTAAAATATTTTTATGGTCAACAAAATTTCCTTTGTGTTTTCTGAAAAATGACTTACGGTCTAATTTTTCGAACTTTTCACTTCAAAGAATAAATACTCAAAATAATTTTATTTTATGAATTTAATATTAATAAAATATTTTATTATCATTTTAATCAAAATATTAATTATTAAATATTTAAAAATATTTATATATTTTAATAATAATATTATATTTTTAATATTATAATAAAATATCAATATATTATAATATAAGATAATATATTTTATTTTAATATATATATAAATTATTTAATATTTATATTATTTATTATTTCATAGAAATAATATTATTAAATTATTAATAATGAATAATATTATTTATATATTTAATATAATATAATAATCTAATAATATTTTAATAAAGATACTTAAAATATACTAATTAATATTTTTAAAATATATAACACTATTACTTTAATAAATAATTAATATAATTTAATATTTTTATTTCAATAAAATATACCATATTAATATTTTTATTAATAAATTATAAAATATATTTAATAATAAATAAATTATTTTAATATTTTAAAATAATAATATTAAGTTTTATGATAAATAATATTATTTAGTTATTTAATTTGTAATAATAATTTTTAAAAACTCATCAAATAGTGGGAAAATGTTTAAAAAATATTTCCAAATATCGTAAAACGTTTTCCAGATGTTTTACAGAAAAATGTAATTCATTTTACGTAAAACATTTTACGGAAAATGTTATCCAGAAATGTAATTCATTTTCTAAAATTCAAATTCCAGTAATTCATTTTCCAGAATTCAATTTCCAGAAAACCAATTACAGCCAAACAAATATACTCTTAGTAAATATAAACAAAAACAGAGATATAGCAGTTTCTTAATCCCTTGCGGGGTTAAAATTACTCCACCATGATATATATATATATATATATATATATATAATATATATATATATATATATATATCAATTATAATATGCTTATTGATATTACTGGTTCTTAATTAGTATTTAAAAATAAAAAGATACATCTATTGATTTTTAATATCATTTATAAAATTATAAAGTTTAGTATTAAATAATAATATTTATTTATTAATTTGAAATCACTTACTAATTATATATTTTAGTGCGTAAAATACACCTTTAAAAAAATTTATCCGTCGTGTGCTTAAATTCAACATATGATGGTTTAAAATCGTATTGGACCAACCCATTTGGTTAAGATCTGGTATTGAGTCTCTAACCCTAAATATTCGGCAAATGCGATCCCGACAGATGATGGTTTAAAATTGAAGGTCTGATTATCAGCACGGGGAAGTGGGAGGATGGTTCATGTTATTGGCGTTTCTTCTAGTACCAGGGTTTAAATAAAGTATAATATCATTAGGGATTTTCAGATCCTGTGAGCAGAGCAGCCCAACCGCCGCGCCTCATCTTTAATTCTTCCTCATCACCCTGTAATTTGCATCAGTTAACAATTTCCTCTGTACGTTAATCCTTATTTTAATGGATATTTCCAGTGCGACACGTTTTAGCCTTTAACCTTTAAAGTAGGTAACCCTATGCTCTCACTGATAGACACGCTTTCACGCACTCTCACACTTCCTCCTCAAAAGTAACGATTCCCTCATTTCCCCTCAAACAAACTAAAAAATGTCTAAACTTCCGATGGTTTAATGGATATTTCCAGTGCGACACGTTTAGCCTTTAACCTTTAAAGTAGGTAACCCTATGCTCTCACTGATAGACACGCTTTCACGCACTCTCACACTTCCTCCTCAAAAGTAACGATTCCCTCATTTCCCCTCAAACAAACTAAAAAATGTCTAAACTTCCGATGGATATAATCACCGACGTTTTCTATCGCCTCCCGGTGAAGACTCTATTACGTTTCAAGTCCTTGTCTAAATCGTGTTGCTCTTTGATCGACGACCCTGATTTCATCGAAGCCCACTTGAATCGTTCCGTCCAAACCGGATCAAATCTCAACATCATCCTCAAAGGTTTGCATCTCTATTCCGTTGAATTTGACACCTTAGATGTCGCCGTCCCACTCGACTGTCCTTTGAGTATCGGAGCTTGTACGGAAGCCTTTGGTTCTTGTAACGGACTGCTTGCAATCCATATGTCCGATAAAAATGTTGCCTTGTACAACCCTTCAACGAGACAGTTCCGTAGTCTGCCTGTGTCAGAGATTGATCCTCCCCAACGTGAATCTTGTAGACCCGGGTATGTTTTTTTTGGGTTCGGACAGGATATTAGAACTAACGATCACAAATTGGTGAGAATGACACAGTTTAACAAAACTGCCGATGAAGATGATGAAGGGCACACGTTTGATTACGAGGTTAAGGTTTATAGCTTGAAGACTGATTCTTGGAGAAAAATAACCAAGCTTCCGTTTTATCTTCGATTTATGTTTCAATTTTTTTACCATCTTTTGCATAGGCGAGGCTATGGCGTGCTTGCTGCTGGGGTTTTACACTGGGTGATGCCTCCAAGAATGGAGTTGGGAATTACCAGAAATAAGATTATTGGTTTCGACCTTGGAACCGAGGACTTCACTGAAGTGCCTCAGCCTGAATGTGCTGATAAGGGATATCTCTTGGATGTGGGTGTGCTGGAGGGATGCCTATGTGCTGTTTGTAATTATGACCAAGTCAAAGTTGATGTCTGGGTGATGAAGGAATATGGAATGAAAGAATCTTGGACCAGGTTGCTTTCTCTTCAAAAAACTAGAGCTGTTAACCCTTTAACGTTTTCAAAGCCATTAGCATATAGCAAGTACCGTGATAAGGTTCTGCTAGAGGTTAACAATCAAAAGTTTGTTTGGTATGATTTACAAAAGAAGAAGATGCGTAGTGTGAAAATTGGTGGTAGTCTAGGTAAATTCGGTGCAGAAGTTTATGTAGGAAGCTTGATTCCGGTAGAAGATCAGAAAAGAACGGAATATCAGAAGCGAAACCAACAAGAGGAACTGAGTCTGAGGAAAGGAAATAGAAAGAAGAGTTAAAAAGTAAAACCATACACAAAAACTTGTTTGAATCTTAAGACAAAATTGTTACTTGGAAACTTGTAAGCCATTTTTAAGTAACATGCTTTATGCTTAATATTGCTTCTTTTTACTTTTCCAGGGATGATTTCCTTTCACAAGGATTCAAATTGGTTTTATAGTCAGAAGTGATGAAAATGTACATGATATGGACCTCGCCCGTGGAATGCTAAATAACTTATAGAGGTACCGGTTTATTTTTTAAAATGCTCACTGGTTCTGGTTTCTTTGTTCTTTTTGGCTTGGAAATCGACTTATTCACAAGCATGTTTCGTAGGGCATAGAAGCTTGCATGTTCCCTTTGTCTTTCTTTGTCTTTCCGGCGCAGCGGATCCCCCCCTGAAGGATTGGCTTGAGAGGGTCATATCAAGCTGACATATGAATTGCTTCTTGGTTGAAGATAATTCTTTCATTTGAAGAATCGTAGTATGTTTTGAAGCACTGCATTCTTTTACTTTCTTTTACAGGGGCCAGATTGTGTGTCCATATATCGACCTTGTGAGAAGAAACATCGAAGAACATGATTTACAAAGAGGAAGCTTTTGGATTGGATTGTTGTGGCAGATTTATTTCATATAAATGGAGTGTCGAAATTCTTGAGGTAAGGTGTTTTTTTCTGCGGTGTTTACGCCGAAGCAAGGGTTGGAAGAGTACCATTTCACAAGGGTTGAGAAAGAGATTATAGCTTGAAGTAGAACCGGTCTTTGACATGAACCTCTTGATTCTTGGTGAATTACTGTGGCCATGGAGTTTGTAGCTATAACCTTGTATTTCACTCTTTATATTTGTTTCAACACAACCCTTTAGTTTATAAAACTATTAGTAAGTTACGAATATGTTCTCACTATAAAATTTCCAATTGAATGAAAAATATTTCGATGTTGAATGTGAATATGTTTATTTTTATAAGGATAAAGACTTAATTTTATATTAGCGAAAATATCAATTAGAGTAACTTAAATTTGTTTAAATTAAAATCTACGCAACTTAATATAAATATAAATTGTAATTTTAAATTTCATAAACCATAATGTATTTTTATAAAATTTAAAATTTAATAAAAATGACATTTTATTTAATAATCTAGTAAATTTTCTTTTTGTATATTTAAAAGGGTTTTAAAATCTTGATTATATCTGAATCTCTACTAGTTTAAATTTCTCAGTTAGATGGTGGTACAAAAATTATCACATTCAGTTAAAAAAACATTAAAATACTCATGTTTTATAGTTTAATTAATACTACTTTTTCATATTTTTATAAATTTTAAATAAAATAACTAAAAAACATTGCTTTCGATATAAGTACAATGCCAAACTTAAATTTAGTTTTTCGTTTTTGCTACAATTTGTACCAAAAATAATAATTTGATTTTGTCCGAAAATAATCATTTTTAAAAATTACATATTAATTATATGTTAAATTTTAAAAATATTTTTCACACACGAAAACTGGCGTGACAGAATTTTAATATATATTCTTTAAAAAAAGAATTCTAATATATTTTAAAGTTATTATTATACAATATAAATTATAATTATAATTTAAACATGTTAACATTCGCTATAAATTATATGAACCAATCAAGGGAATTCTGTGATAAAGGAGAATGTTTGTTCTTCTTAAAGGTCGTAAGTTCGAACAACTACATCCGCAAGGTGCGTGTGCGTTGTCAATAGATTAAAAAAATTCTGAATAAATATTACATTTTACCTTATAATCATCTCAAACTTTTAAAAAATTGTTTATTTTATATAAAAATTATTTCAGTCTTTTCACTAGAAAAATGACATTTTAATCTTTGTAAACTTTAAATATATATATCTAAATATGTAACTTCAAATATAAAATAATAAATTTACTTTTAAAATTTTATATTTTTAATATTACATTAGAAAGTTCAAATCATCATCAAAGAAGTATATGCGGGGGCGGAGCTAGTGAGACCAAAGCGGATCGATTTCGGTTAAAATTTGTATATTTAGTATAATTTTGGTTTAATAGTATATTGATTTATGTAAAAATAAATATTTAAATTAAAAAACATAAGAATTTATTACATATTTAATCAAGTAAGGAACAAATTAAAGAAAGATAATAACGTGTTCTTAAATTTTTGGTCTAATAACAATTTAGGTCATTGTAAGTTTAAATATTAGACAAATTAGACTTGAAACCTCAAGGACAATAGCAATCCCTTAATCACTAAGATCGTTTGATTTGTGCTGAATTTTTGAATTTTGAGTTTAAATACTTAATAAGTCTTTACATTTTTCTTAAATATTCTAATATTTTTGCTCCTGTCAATATTTAGTTCTGACTCCGTCTCTGAATATATGTTTAATGTATGTACAATTTTTTATATGAATTAGATATATGATTAATGTATTATATAATTTACTCAATACAAATAAGCTTATTTTAAAAAAAATACATTTTAATTTAAAAATTTTGTCACAAACTGCGAGTTTGAATTCAAGATTTATGTATAAATATTTGTAGAAAAAAGTTTTTTTTTGTAATATTAAGTTAATCCGGATCACCAGATATTACCCGACCCTTGAATCATAAATCATATTCTATTTAATTTCTTAATTTAAAATGAAAATTTTTTAAATTAAAGGATAATGTATAGATAGTATTGATTTGAATTTGAATATTTTAGATAATACAAGAAATTTGTTAGATGAGACTTAATCAAATCATCAATGCAATTTAATCCAAATCATTAGATGTAGGACAGTTCAACTATAAATAAAGAATTTCCCATCTCATTTATATCACTTCATTTATTCAATCTCATTTTTACTTTGAGTACTAAAATACTCTATTTTTTATTACTCTTATTATTTGTGTTTTTTTGTCTCTTTTGGTGATTTTTAAATATTTATTTCTATAATATATAAATTAAAGAAATTTTTAAATATAATATAAAAATATATAATAAACTTTAATCGATTGAGATATATATTACTTTAATTTTAATTATATGACATTTTCGTGCTACGTCGTTTAAGACCAGTTACGGTAAAGACCTCTGCCTTTAATTCAAATTGCGTAACATTTATAGTCATTGTTGCGCTGCTTAGGTGATGACGGCTGGAATGTAAGTGTCTGGAATGGCTCGCGCGAGTCGACAAATTGGATCTTTGCCCACAATTTCTTAGGGTTTTCCATCTATTTTCCTTTGAAGGGGTTTTCCAAATTCAAGCTTTTGTTTTTATGTTTGTGGCGGCTTCTTGACCCTCTACTTCTCTCACCCCCGCCGTCACAGGCTGGGATTGCTACCCTCCAATGTCTCTCTTCCCGTCCCCCGCGGTTGATCAATTCCCCAACGGCTACGATCATCGCCTTTCCTCCAAGCGCAAGTTTGACGATTATGCCCTTGCTATCGGCGACGAGCAAGACGACGAGACTCCCTTAGTTCCCGTCAGAATGCGAAAAGACGATCCCCGCCATCATGTCCACCACCCAGTAACGACCGTTGATCCCTCGTCCAAGGCGCCGGTTTTCTCCTTCCCCGCCTCTCACGTCGATTCCCGCCCTTCATCGTCCGCCAGTTGTTCATCAACCCGCCTCCAATTCTTCATCCGGATGTTCTCCCAGGGCAACACCATGGTGGTTACGGCCAATCCGGAGGACACGGTCAAATCCCTCCACGAACGGATTTATGTAATGACGGGAGTCCCGGTCATGGAACAACGGTTAATTTATCGCGGGAAACAGCTACAGCTGGAGCAATCCCTAGCGGACTGCGACATCCAGAATGATGCCAGTCTCCAACTCGTAGGTCGTATGCGATCCACTGACCACCCACAAACCTGGCAGGTCATGGACGACATGGTTTCTCTTATTTGCCGCCTTTGCCGAGGAGAAATGGTACATTCCCCATCCAAAAGCATCAAAGATTGCTTGAACAAATTCTTCACAATTACTCCAAAGGACAACAACGAAGCCGTTCATGCTCACTTGCAGATTTTTATGGCATCTTCGGCTCATGCCGCTTTGGTAATGCTTTATATGTCTCCTGTTACCGGTAATAAGCAGTGTGCTGATAGTTCAATAAGACATTTCTTAACTTCATGTAGGAGTGCCTTATCAAAAGAGCTGCATTCTTACTGTATACCAATAGTATTAGAGTTTTGCAGTTTACTTCGGAATGTTGTTAATGAGGATAGTTTGTATACTTCTTGCCGGAGTACACTGGGCATGCTGCTCGAAAGTTTTAGCGGTTCTCTTGCTTTAATGCTGCCGAAGGTTGAAGGATTGATTACCATGAAGGATATTTTCCCCTTTATTAGCGAGTTGGCTGGTCATTTAACTGCAGAGTTGGATTCTAGTTTAGATTCTACCACGAGTGGGGGACCATTATCAAGTGATGTCCGGGATTTCACAGCATTCTTGAACCCTTTGAGGTCCATTTTTGAGCATTTGTGTTCCCGAGTTCCAGTATCAGCTGATTGGAAAAAGAAGGATTACTACCATCCTCGGGAGATGGAGTTTCTTCATGCTATATTTAATGATTTGTTGTATAAAATGGAAAAATGCCTTATCAGAGTGGAGGAAAGCTTTGCAGCAACAGGAAGCGGTGAAGATGAATTCTTTCATTTAGGGTGGTCTCAGTATCTTTCCATTTTGAAGGAACTGAATGGCATCTCCAAACTTTATCAGGGTGCTGAAGAACAGTTTTGGATGGTTTTGAGGAATAGGAGGTCCTCATTGTGTGCCTTAATAATTAGATTCACCAGGCAAAATGATGATCATCAATGGCTACTTGAGCACAAGGATGTCACTGATTTTGAATCCAGGAGGCATTTGGCCATGATGATGTTTCCTGAGGTAAAAGAAGATTATGAGGAATTGCATGAGATGCTGATTGACAGGTCTCACTTATTGGCAGAATCATTTGAATACATTGCTCGTGTGGACCCTGAATCACTTCATGCTGGTCTATTCATGGAATTCAAAAATGAAGAAGCCACTGGCCCTGGTGTACTGAGGGAGTGGTTTTTCTTGGTATGCCAGGATATATTCAATCCAGAGAATGCCCTTTTCGTGCCTTGCACAAATGATCGTAGAAGATTTTTTCCTAATCCTGGTAAGCTTCCTCTAAAATTCTGAACTTACTTTCTGTTAGTGAAGACTTTTTGCTGCTCTCTTTTATCTTGTCATTTTTCTGTGTTCGGTGTCCTCTTGTTTGTAAACATGGATTGAGGTAGTAAAAAGGTAGAATTCTTGAGGACCGCCTTCACAACTTGTACTGGTTATATCATGTTATGTGCAGCAGGCTATGTCAAATTAAAAGCAAAAGAACTGGCTCATGTCAATTGTCAAATAACATGCTTGAAAGAAAGAAGTAGTGCATTGGGATTTTGCTCAACAGAATGTGAAAACAAGTGAATACTATTTTTTTTAGTTAATAGATTTATAGTGTACTTTGTCAATATCCTTGATGACATGAAGAGATATTCTCATTGTCCTCTTAAGTGTTAAAGAGTTCAAAGCATGCCTGAAGTGTTCACCTACCCCCCACCCCCCCTTCAATTTTCTTCCTTGACTCTTTTGGCAAGTGAGACCCATGATTTATTTGTGGTCTTTATTTCTTCTCAATTAGAGCTGGTTCTTCTGCTCTGGTCCTCAATTATAAAATTCCTTTGATGAGCCATTCAAGGGTTCTAGATCTCTAGTTTTCATTGGTTTTGGTCTGCTTTAGAACTAGTTGTTTCATTTCCAACCCAAAGGATGATATTCTATGTAAACAAAATGAGGCTTTTTATTTCACTTCACCGTTGTAAGTTTTTTGTTGTGCTGTTCCTCTAATATTGGTCTATCTCTGCTATTTTACCCCAAATATTTAGCACATGTGGTTATATCTGTGTGGCACATTGGATATAGCACCTCACCTTTTACACCTTCTAATCCCACCCAAAGGGTATATGTCATTATATACTGTGAAACAACGCCAATTACTAGTTAGTATTTTGAGTTTTGAGTTGAGAGGTAAAAGGTGAATGAGGAAAGAACGGGAACAGTAAAAAAGGCCGATGAGAGAGAGGGAGTCCAAAATGAAGAAAAGAAAGGCTTCGAATCCGATGGTAAACAAGAATTGTAAGACCACTAAAATTGAGAGAAAAGATAATATTGGATTCTTAATGAGATTTATGTGGTTTTCGGCTAACCTCACATGATGAAACATGTTTGCCTCTTTGTTGGATTATTCTAGCGGGGAAGATGAGGAAATTGAATGAGAGACAGGGAGCAGCTCTGGCAAAAAAAAAAAGAGTAAAGGAGTAAATGAGTCAGAAGGTGACCTTAGATATTTGAAGAGAATAATTGGGAAGATGCAAGGGAAACGTGGAAATTGAGGAAGCTGTTAGGGTGATCCGCTAATTGCAATGATGAAACGATTATTAACATGCTAATATTGATCATCAAACGAAAATTATGAATTGATTGGGTAAGTTTGAGTGATAATCCTCAGTTTGAGTAGATTGGTGATAATGTTTAGTGGAAGAAGTGTTAGTGTTTGTGGGATTGAGCTTCTTGTATTTGAGTGTTGTGTGGCTGAGATTGTTGTTGTTGGGTTTAATTTAGAATATGGCCCATAACAAGGAATTTATGCTATGTAGGTGCATCTTTATTGTTATTGGGGTGGGTTGATTGTTTAGGTTGTTTTATTGTATTGAAAGTTTTAATTGTAACGGATTCATTGTGGTGAAAGGATGATGGTCATATGAGTTTTTATATTGTTTAGTGCTTACTAGATGACAATTGTTTGTTGAGAGAATTGCTATTGAATGGTAGTTTCGAAGGATCTTGCATAAAGCTTAATAGCAAAGAAGCCAGAGCTGAACATAGTGGATTTTAAAATTTTGGTTTTATGAGCTCTACTGGAAGAAGGAAAGGATATTCTTTCATTAGTTGGGTGTATCATGAGCCTTTTTTTTGTTTTGAATGTCAAAATGGTGAACAATCATATGCTGACTCCGTGGTTGCGGTTAGGAGGTGCAGCTTATTGATAAATCAACAAAGGCTATTGATTTCAAGGTGTATTTCTGTTAATGTTTGGCGAGGGATAACCAGGTAAAATCTGCTGAGAAGTGAATGGGATGCTTGATGCACTTGCAAATACGAGGTTGATAGAAAGAAGCATTGTACTGCTTGCTGGTGTTTTGTTCATGTAAGGGGTCCTTTTTTGTGTTTTTGTGGGCCTTGATGTTGAATGGTCTTTCCTGTTTATATGTTCTTGCTGGAACATATTTAGTGTTGGAGATCGCTCTTTTTTAACAACTTTTAATTAATAAAATGATTGAATTAGCCAAAAATTAAAAGCATATTTTATGAAAAATTGAAAACCTAAAAATACTTCACAAGTTACATGGTGTTTGATAATCTTAGTAGATAGGGCTTTTAGTGAGAGAATGTCCCTCTTCTCTCTAGATTCCAGTTTTTTAAAAAAAGTCACGTGGGCATGACTGAACGCTCAACCCTTCCACAACCTTGACCACTGCCATCAGTCGTCAACTATCCACTTTCCACCGTTCTTCGTCCACCATCACTGTTCGCCGTCGCACTCCGATCTCCGTTCGACGCCATTTTTCTCAGGGAAGCTCGTTTGCTTATGGAGATTCCAAATATGGGCTTAGATTTGCGATGAAGTCTTCCAATAGGTGTAGATCTATACTTTCTTCACTGCCGATTTTCGCCGCCAACCGCCGTCCGTTTCGACAAAGCCTCACCACCAAGCTCTGCGTCATTTGGCGACCAAAACCCACCTCTCCTTGAGTTGAGAACCGTTGCTGTTCTCCGGGATTTCGATTTTTACTGTTTCGTAATTTCCAGAAACTGTTGCTGTTCTGCCGTCTACTGCTGTTCAGCCGTCGTTCTGCGTCGACCAGGTTGTTTCGACGTTACTAGGTTCTTTGACATTACCGGGGGTGCTACAGATTATCCGACAATTGCTCTAAATCTGTCCGTTTGGGCTCAACTGGTGTTATTTCAATTTACTGTTTTCTGCTGTTAATTTATTGAGAGCATTTCCGGATTGCTCTTTTGAGGGACAAAAGTTAGGACGGATGGCTCAAAGCTCAGGGAAGGAAGGTGAGATAGTAACTTTGTTTGTGCAAAACATACCGCCTACATATCATTGGAGTGGGTTGATACATATATTCGGGAGGCATGATGATGTGATTAGTTCTTATATAGCAAGGAAAAATGATAGAACAGGAAAGCGCTTTGACTTTGTTAGATTTTCCAACAGAGGTGACTCAGTTAGAGCAGTCCAAAGATTAAATGGATTCTGGTTATTTGGATATCGGTTATTAGTCAAAGAAGCTCGGTATGGAGCCAAGAATCAAATCTGGAAATTGAAATATCCTTCAACTTCCAGTGCTACAACCAGGGTAGAACAAGGAACAAGCGTTAGTGGAGAAAGTCCGAAGGAACTTGCAAGAAGGAGGACTAGGTTAATTCAGGGGGATGTAGATGAGGAAGTTGTTTGAAAGCTCCAGAAATGCCTCGTAGGAACGATGGCGACGGTATGCTCTTCGAGTCAGGTGGATGAAAGATTACAAGTTGGTGGTCTAGGAGAAATTAAGACCAAGTTCTTGGGAGGGAGAGATTTCTTATTGCAAATAGCTGAGGAAGAGTTATACAGAACCTTGAAGGAGCAGAACTGGTCGATTTTAAATGAAGTTTTCCAGGAAGTTCAACCTTGGTCAGAATCTTACAGAACTTCGGAAAGAGTTACATGGATTAAATTGTTGGAATGCCGCTTCATTGCTGGAATCATAGCACCTTTAAGAGGATTGCACAACAATGGGGAGAATGCTTAGCACTGGGGGAAACACACTTCAAGAATTGGGCTGCGAGGAGATGACTATTCTGATAGCAACTACTAGGAAGGAATTAATTGATGAAGTGGTAGACTTGGAAGCAGGTAGAGATTTATTTCGAATTAGAGTAGTGGAAGTTCCCATAGTTAGAAGTGATTCTTTGTGTCGAAAGCGGGAAGAAAAAAATGGTGCGGTTGCAGTTGATTCTGATTCTCCGGCAGGAAGAAGCGTGGACTCATCGTAGGAGAAGAATTCCGAGAGGTGTTCTGAGGAAGAAGACAGTCAATTATTGTGTATGGGGATCAGAGCTGAAGGTAGCAACTTGTCGGGTGAGGATGGGAGGAAAGGAACATAGGGGAGGAAATAATTATGGGTCTGAGGAATAATGTTGCTGGTCAGGGGAAGGTTCAAATGCAAATCGAGGAAGCGGTGGAACATGAGGAAGTGCTGGAAGCGGTGGAACACGAGGAAGTGCTGGAAGCGGTGGAACACGAGGAAGTGCTGGAAGCGGTGGAACACGAGGTAGTGCTGGATCACGTGCTGAGAGAGGCAGAAGATGACAACAAGAAATTTGGTAAGACTGCACATGTTAATGAGGGGATGAAGGATAATTTAATAGATTTGCCCATCTTGGATGGTCGTTTAGAGTCAAATGAGGTGGAGGATGTGATTAATATGGGCCTTACAAATAATTGTGCTATCATAAGATCCAAGGGAGAGGAAGTCCAACAGGATGGGGCTGTGGTTGAACGGGTGATTGGAAAACCCAAATCAGGGATAGTATGTGAGGATTTGGACCAGAGTCTTGGCTTGTCAACACAATTGAGGGGCGTTTCTTTCTCGCTCAATTCCAGGCAAAACCAGAGAGCTAAGGAGGGGATTAACAATAAATATAGCTCTCTCCAAATAATTGAAGAGAAATATTCGGCTCCCCATAGGAAGACTAGACTCTGTCGAAGCAAGATTAATCAGAAGAAGGTGCATCGCGAGGAAGAATGGACTGAACTTGAAGGCTCACAAGTATTTTTGATTTCGGAAAACTATAACAGTGGAAGAATTGGAAGTTTCAGGTGATTTGCATTTGATTATTGAATGAAGTTGGAGGATCGGATGGTCTCCGATGACAAGACGAGCAATAAGTGGTAGAAAGGCGGATAGAGTGATTTCGAAGCTAGATTTTTTTACTCTTATACTGTGGAAGCTCATGGCTTTTGTGTTAGAATTTGGCTTTTTTGGAATGAGTCAGTTGATATTAAGGCTGGCAAGATGATGGATTCTTTCATAGTATCTACAGATCCAGGCCCTCCAACTTTGCTGGAGCTTTTTCCTAGGTCTTGTAATATGGAGGCAGACAAGTTAGTTAAGGAGGGGATTGGTTGATTGTTTCAGGCATTTGGTTGTACTGTTTTCTGTTGTATTCCAGGAAATGTTTAGCCGTTAAGTCTTCATTGTTGTTGCTAAATTGGTTAATAGCTCAGCCAAAATTTATACTGTGTTAGTAGCTTAGTTAGTTTAGGCTGAGCTAGTTCTGTTGTATAGGGTTGTCTTCGGTTCTTTTTTGGTTTTTTGGCCATGTTGGGGGTGTTTATCTGGTTGTATCTTATGTAATTTCTTTTGGTTAATGAAATCTTTAGGCACTCTTTTCCTCCTTCCACTGATTAAGGAGCTTCTCTACAAGCTCCTTTAATCAAGAATGAGGTTTTTAACGAGGCCTTCAATTCCTATAAAAAAAAAGGTTACATGGTGTTCCTATTACACTGGCTCAAGTACATGCTTCCTTATGTGTTTCTCTCTATATGCAGCATCTAGGGTGGATCCTTTGCACCTTGAGTATTTCAGTTTTGCTGGTCGTGTGATTGCACTAGCGTTGATGCATAAAGTGCAAGTGGGTATTGTCTTTGATCGTGTATTTTTCTTACAATTGGCTGGAATGGATATTTCTCTGGAAGATATACAAGAGGCAGATCCGTGCTTGTATAGCAGCTGCAAGAAGATTTTGGAGATGGATGCTGAATTTGTTGATTCAGATGCTTTAGGACTGACATTTGTTAGAGAAGTTGAGGAGTTAGGATCGAGGAGAGTTGTGGAACTATGCCCTGATGGAAAAAACATTGCTGTAAATAGCAGTAATAGGCAGGAATATGTTAACCTTCTTATTCATGATCGTTTTATAACATCTATTTCTGAACAGGTAGACTATTTTTCCCGGGGTTTCAGCCATATTCTTTCTAACTCAAGGCTTCAGAAGTTCTTTTTCAAAAGTTTAGAGCTTGTGGACCTTGACTGGATGCTATATGGAAGTGAAAGTCCCATTTGTGTTGAAGACTGGAAAGCACATACGGAGTACAATGGCTACAGAGAAAGTGATCCTCAAATAACCTGGTTCTGGGAGGTATGGACTTGTAGGAATGCGTTTTACTAATACCATTGTCTATGTATCTGTGCTTCTTTAAATCAAATTCTACATTATTAATGTTCATGCTGCATGTCACACGGCTTCACTTCTGTCCTGCCTCTTTTTGATGTCTTGATTTGTTGCAAATCACAATCTGGATCTGCATATATTTTATTAGATTCTTGATTTATAGTAATAGACTATTAATGCACTAGTAGTATCAGCCGCAGAAAGAGTTGCTAATATCACTAATTGTGAGCTAAAGGCAGTAATGAAACTGTTGTAAGATGATCTTTTTGGTATTAATAATATATCAATAGATAAAAGGAAAGTGATAAAGTGTGACATCTGCAATAGCTATATTTGTCTTTGTTTTCTCGGATATTTATTTTTAGGCTATAGTTTTCGTATTACTTGCTTTGATGAAACCTATAAGTTTGTACTATTTTTTCCCAATAATTTACTTGCTCAAGTTTAAAAAAAAATGGCAGATTGTTAAGGAAATGTCAGCAGAGCAAAGGAAGGAACTTCTTTTCTTCTGGACCTCAGTCAAGTATCTTCCGGTCGAAGGTTTCCGTGGTTTAGCCTCACGGCTTTGTATATATAAGTCGACAGAGCCTTGTGAGAATCTTCCTTCTTCTCATACCTGCTTTTACCGGATATGTTTTCCACCATATCCCTCCATGGGTGAAATGCGAAAACGTCTTAACTTTATTACTCAGGAACATGTTGGGTGCAGCTTTGGTACCTGGTAACAGAACATTAAGTTAAATTTGCATTTTGGGGGCGGGTGTTAACTGCACATAGAAAAAATTGTACAGGATATATGATTAATATATTAGAGTATATGAGAAGACGTAGTTAATTTTCTTTTCCTTTTCACTTAGAGAGATGCCATTGTTTCCTTTTTGTTGCCTAATCAACTATTTATATGATGTAAATAAGGCAAAGGGGGGGGGGTGTTTGGGTGTGGGCAAGACGGAAGAGGGCGAATTGATGTAATTGCACAGTGGTGCAATGGCATCTAGACTCACAGAAATCCTTTAAATGTTCTGTAGCTTACTTATTTTCTAAATATGAATGTTATCGGCATACGCTGGAATGGGGTGGTCATGGCTTCCTTTTGTTTCTGTTTGAAATCACTTGCAGAAAACCAAAGACATTCAACAAAGCATTTCACCCTAAATTTCACGTTAATAATTTTTGCTTCTGTTTGACAGTGAGTGCAAACATCACATGAAAGTAAATGATTTGATTCGTTTGAATGTTTATGAGGTAATTGGAATCTGTGAAGGAATTAGAATCTGTCTCATTGGAATCCAATTTTATATTCTGTTTGATTTGCAATTTGATTTCAGTAATGTAAAATGACAAAATTGTCTTTCTTATTTTTTTGCTTTATTTTAGTTTGTTTTACAATTTACATATAGTAATATATTATAAAAAAATTAAAAAAATATTAAATTTTCATTTTATTGATTGTTTATTCATTTCAATAAATTATAAAAATTATGTTAATAAACATCATAATTTAAAATCATCGCAATCAAAATATGTTAATAAGTTATTAAAAGATAGAGTAATATTTCGATACATTACAATTGGAGTATGTTAATTAGTTATCAAAAAATATACTAATAACTATTTTTATTCAATATATCAATTAGAAACCGATAAGACACGACACGAAATAATAAAAAAAATATTTTTATTCAATAAAAACATTGACTTAATTGAAAAAAAAATTATATATAGAGGGGCATTATTGTAATTATTTATAAATATATAAGGTAAAATTATATATTTTTTTCGGGTCGGGTCTGGTTTTTTTCACCCTAAACACGAACCCGACCCGACCCAAATATCACACTTAAAAAAATCCGACCCAACTCGACCCGAATATCACACTTAAAAAACCCGACCCGAACAAAATAAAGTTTCACCCGACCTGAATATATGAATTAGAAATTCGACCCGACCCGAAATAAAAAAAAATTATTTTTATTCAATAAAAACAGACTTAATTGAAAAAAATTATATATAGAGGGGTATTATTGTAATTATTCCTAATTATATAAGGTAAAATTATATATATTTTCGGGTTGGGTATTTTTCACCCTAAACCCGAACTCGACCCGAATATCACACTTAAAAAAATCGACCCGACCCGACCCGAATATATGAATTAGAAACCCGACCCGACCCGAAATAATTAAAAAATATTTTTATTCAATATATGAATAAGATACCAAACGATTGATGAGGGTAGAATGGTCAAATTTCAATTCCCTCCAACAAGGGAATTGAATTCCATCCATTATTGGATGTAATTCACTTTCCCTCATTTGATGGAAAGTTGAAGCCATGAGGGATTCCAATTCCCTTGGAAAACTTGAACTAAACATGGGAAAGTGGTGGAATTTGATTACAATTCCCCCCAATTCCATGGGATTCATGCCAACCAAACGCCAGGTGGCGTTTGGTTCGCTGGAATATTTATGAAGGAATTGGAATCTGTGAATTAATTGGAATCTGTAGGAATTGGAATCCAATTCAATATTCTGTTTGGTTCGTAGATATGTCAGATGAATTTGATTTCAGTAATGTGAAATGACAGAATTTACCTTCTTGTTTTTTTTTGCTTTATTTTAGTTTATTTTACAACTTACATGTAGTAATAATATATTATATAAAATTTAAAAATATTAAAATTTTAATTTATTGTTTGATTATTTATTTCAATAAATTATAAAAATTATGCTAATAAACATTATAAGTTAAAATCATCGCAATCAAAATATGTTAATAAGTTACCAAAAGATAGAGCAATATTTCGATACATTCCAATCGGAGTATGTTAATTAGTTACCAAAAAATATACCAAAAACTATTTTTATTCAATATATGAATTAGAAACTCGACCCGACACGACTCAAAATAATAAAAAAATTATTTTTATTCAATAAAAACATTGACTTAATTGAAAAAAACTTATATATAGAGGGGTATTATTGTAATTATCCCTAAATATATAAGGTAAAATTATATATATTTTTTCGGGTTGGTCCGGTTTTTTCACCCTAAACCCGAACCCGACCCGACCTGATTCGAATATCACACTTAAAAAAACCTGACCCGACTCGACCCGAATATCACACTTAAAAAACATGACCCGACCCAAACAAAATAAAGTTTCATCCGACCCAACCCGAATATATGAATTAGAAATCCGACACGACCCGACCCGAAATAATAAAAAAATATTTTTATTTAATAAAAAAAGTGACTAATCCGACCCGACCCGAATTATATATATATTTTCGGGTCGGTCCAATTTTTTTTCACCCTAAACCCGAACCCGACCCGACCCGGATATCACACTTAAAAAACCCGACCCGACCAGAACAAAATAAAGTTTCATCCGACCCGACCTGAATATATGAATTAGAAATCCGACCCGACCCGAAATAATAAAAAATTATTTTTATTTAATAAAAACAGTGACTTAATACGACCCGACCCGAATTATATATATTTTCGGGTCGGTCTGGTTTTTTTCACCCTAAACCCGAACCCGACCCGACCCGAATATCACACTTAAAAAACCCGACCCGACCCGGACAAAATAAAGTTTCATACGACCCGACCCGAATATATGAATTAGAAATCCAACCGACCCGACCCGAAATAATAAAAAAATATTTTTATTTAATAAAAACAGTGACTTAATCCGACCCGACATGAATTATATATATTTTCGGGTCAGTCCTGTTTTTTCACCCTAAACCCGAACCCGACCCGACCCGACCTGTAACATCCCAAACTATGGGTTAGTGACTAAATGGTAAAGTTTCAGAAATTTGGTGAATAAAGTAGAAGAATGGATTAGTTCAATGATTTATCTGAAAATAAATCCTAAAAGTTGCTAGTAATTATTAAAAGATTTTAAGGGCAAAGTGGTCATTTGACTTGGAAAGGATAAGATAATAATCTTATCTCTTTATTAAGAGATAAACATGTAGGGATCTCCAGAACTTCTTCTCCTTCTTCTTCCTCTCCTCCCGTATCTCCAAGCTCAAAGGTGAGTCTTCTACTTAGTTAATTAATTGTTAAGTTTAAGATTGGGTTTTGATCATTAGATGATAACTAAGCTTAAGGAAAGCTTAAGTTATCTTAAGATCAAAAGATAAAGGAGATAGAGAAGATTAAATATTAGAGGTTCTTGAATGAAATATTGGAATAGAGTTTATAATAAGAATTTAAAGTTGGATTTGACTTGTCATCAATCTAGTTAAGATATATGAAGTGTTAAAAGTGGAATTCAAACATGTTGGATTATTGATGTAATTCTTGAATTTCATATGAAGGATAAGATTTGAAGGTTAAAGATGAAATAAATGAGTATAAATTGGTTTAAGGATGTGTACTAGAGTTAAGAGTGAAAGAGGGGATTAAACATGAAAGATTTAATCCAAAATGAATGGATTTTCGGGTTCAAAAAGAGGTTCTGTCCAGAGTGCATCGATGTACATTCATAGTGCATCGATGTACATTCATAGTGCATCGATGCATCAAGGTTAAAACCCAGAAATTGTTTGAATGTGCACCGATGCATTGGTAGTGCATCGATGCACTCTTTTAAAATAAATACATCGAATGCAATTCATGCATCGATGCATAAGTAGTGCATCGATGCATCCCATTAATAATGAAACATCGAATGCAATTGGTGCATCGATGCATAAGGAGTGCATCGATGCATCCCAGTAATAATACTACATCGAATACCTTTTATGCACCGATGCATCAGTAGTGCATCGATGCATACCTTCATTAAAAGATGAAATTGACTTTTCTCTTGGTCTAAAGAGTGAACCATTAGAGTATATTAGTTATGATACTGATATAGATCTATGTATGATTATGTAGATATAGAACGTGATCTCGTTCTGAATCAACTGAAGGATTAGAATCGAATCAAAGCAAAGCTAAGGTAAGTGCATACTATATGTATATTATAATGGAATAAGACTTGTGATAAGTCTAATCCCTATGTTGATTTTTATAATACAGTAGTTGTGAACATGCATACATGATAATTATTGTGATACATGCATAAGACATATATATGTTCATATGATATGATATGTGATATGAGAACATGATATGAAGTGACATGAGCTACATGATCACAAGAGAAATGACATGAGCTACATGATCACAAGAGAAATGACATGAGTACATGAACATATGAAATATAAGAATAATGCCCATAGTATACGATATGAGAATTATAGGTGTAATTGGCATGCCAAGAGTCGAGGGTATAATAGTCCTTCGGGACATAGTCCTTCGGGATGTAGGAGTCCTACGGAACGAATATTGAACTAAGGTTCGGTGCCCCATGAGGGAATAGATACGAGCTGTGGTGACAGCATTAGTGCACAACCTCAATGCACTCACATACCTCTAATCTCAATAATATACATGGGCTATGCAATTGAAATACCGATTTACAGTGAAAGTGATACAAGAAGGTAAGTTTCGTATGTGCATTATATGTTATCGTGCGATAGATATATGCATATTGAAATGTCATGATTCAATTGTAAGTATGAACATTCATAAGTTTATTGTTGCATATGTTTTATATGCCTCACTAAGTCAACGACTTAGCGTGTGATTGTTTCACACGTAGGTTTCGAGAAGAGTAAAGAGTAATGCGGAGCAAGACAGGTCAGTTCTCCTTACTAAATGTCAGATCAGAAATTATATGTACTGTATATAGACTGTAGTTGGCGTGTAGTCTAAAG